TTTTTGACTGTCAATAAAAAGGGAAAGACAAAGCCAGTTGGGGAGCATGGCCATTTGGAATTCTTCTATGCCATAAGCTCCAGGCTGGTGAATAAAGACCTTCCTCTTATAAACGTGGTGCTTGGGTGCTCTTTCTGTCCTTGGGCCTCATCTTCCTGCAACAGAATGAATAGTAAATAGAATTAAATAAGGTCTCATACACCCTGAAGGAGGTGGCCCCTGATTTGGAGGGGTAATTGCTATGTCCAAATAATCTCCTACTTGGAACTTCTGCAACTGCAGGGTCTTGGAATCATCAGTCCCCTTCTGCCAGACATGGTGCTGCCAATATCCTTAACTCGATAGCCAGGTCTTTTAAGATCTGTAAAAACAATTGCAAAATTAAAGTATGTCCCCTTCTTTCTAGCTTCTGCGTAGACTTCTTGTACTAAACTAATCAGTTTTTTCAAGGTCACAGCCATCCAAGTGTAGATCTGCAGCTCGCTGGAAGGTACGCTCCTGCCTGAGAACTTGTCCACTCAGTATTAGGGTTGAAGACCTAGAGCAGGATCCAGGCATGTCTTCTCGTGGTGGATCAGCGTCTCTGTCTCCTTCTCAATTTCCTCCTGGGTAAGAGCAATTCCACCTCCATCTTCTTCCTATGGCCTGAGAGAAGCTCACTCTGACCTCCTATGATTCACTTTTATGAAGAAAGTCCTAAACTGGCTAAGCACACACTTGTAAAGCTGTCACACTCAAATTCCTTCTGACCTGCTCTCAGGTTCAGAGCACAATGGCATTACTAGCACTCAGTAGACCTTTAATCTTGTATTGAGGAAGATCCTAGTTAGTAACTGCCGAATGAATGAATGAATGAAGAAAAAAACTTTGAACTTGCCCAGGGGATATATTTACTAATGACAGGAAGTCAAAAAGATAAACATTTTCAAATGAAATAGATTTACTCTAACCAACTCCACAAGCTTACTTCTCTCTTCACCCCTAAAGGCTGGACCAGTAATTCATTAACTTCCTAAAAGCCTTGAGGAGTCATTTAAATTTTAACAGACTAAGCCCCATTAGATGCTAGTAGGTCATTTCTTATTTACATAAACTAATAAAGAGCAAGGTGCAATAGGACTATCCATTCCAGGAACTTGAGAAATATCACCCATGATAACACTTTGTTACGGTTCATCTGGGTAAATTACAGAGGGAATTCTTAAACCTTTTCATATTTTGCTTTGATTATGTTCTACTTTGGTTACTTTCTAGTTTGGTTCAAAATCTTCCTGTCATTGTTTTCATACAGCTAAATAGGGCAAAAAAATTAATTTCCAAGATAATAAGAGCGCAAATTCAGCAGAAATGTCAACCCATCTGTTCTCACTTGACCTAGGCTGCTGCTATGGAAACAAGTTTATCCAGGGACACAAATAAACCACTGTAGGGCGGGGCACAGGGCTCACACCTATAATCAATCCTAGCATTCTGAGAGGCAGAGGCAGGTGGATTGCTCCTGCTCAAGAGATCAAGACCAGCCTGAGCAAGTGTGAGACCCCCATCCTGTCTCTACTAAAAATAGAAGAGTTGTCGGGGACACGAGTGTGCAACTCCAGTAGTCCCAGCTACTCTGGAGGCTAAGGCAAGAGGACTGCTTGAATCCAGGAGCTTGAGGCTGCTGTGAGCTATGATGACACCACAACATTCTACCCAGGGCAACAGAGTGAGACTTGGTCTCAAAAATAAATAAATAAACAAACCATTGTACTCAGCTCAGGAATGCCAACTCTCTTACAACTCCCTTCCTTAGCTTAATATCTTTAAATGTCACTGTCAAGTAAATTTAATGTTGCTCTTTTCTCATTAGCTTTTTAAAAATTAAAATAACTCTTTTTATGATTGCAAAAGCAACACTGAACTATAGAAAAAGCTGAAAATGAAGATAAGGGAAGAGAAGAAAAGAAAAATTACCCCTAAGATAACGGGGCGTCCTGCTAAGAGGTCAGCTGGAACTTGAGGGGTCAAATAAAAAACAGAGAAACACATCTAGAGATACCTACTTTTATATTTGGAGAATACATGTATGTATACATAGCAGTGATTTGTAAATTTTTCAAATTTGCAAAGCCTTTTCTTCAAATGAATCATATGTAGGTTATAAAAATGTAAAACAAAAAAAAGTAGGGGGGATGTCTGAAAACCCAATGGTGTGGCCTTTGTACAACCCCCAACTGGAGTCCCACAGAACCTCAGCATTCTTCAGTGCAGACTCTAAAATCTACTGGAATTTACCTTTTCAGAACCTTTGCCTAGAAATAATATTCATACATATCATTTTATGAAAAGATTATATAAAGTATGCATCTTTATAATCTATTTTCATCTCACAATATTAAATTACGAACAGCTTTCCCACAACAAAATATTCTCTTCTCTCATTTCAAACAACTGCATAGTACTCCATTATTTTAATTTACTATAGATTTTTTTTTCCTATTTTAAAGCAATGCTATGATTGACATCTTTGGAGTAGTTAGATATGTGTGTGCATTCTTATTTCCTGAGGATTCATATTTTGTGCTTTTAAAAATATGTCGACCTTTTTAAAATATGTACCTTATAACTACATCAAAAAAACAAAAAATAGCAAATGCTAGTGAGAACCTGAAGAAAGAGGAAAGCCCTCCCTGTTGGGGGGAATGTAAACCAGTACAGTCATTATGGAAAGTAGTTATGGAGACTTCTCAGAAAGCTAAAAATAGAACTGCATATGATTCAGCAATACCACTGTTGCATATTTATCCAAAAGAAAGAACATCAATATATCAAAGGGATACGTGAACCCCCATGTTTATTGTAACATTACTGGAAGTAGCTAAGGTATAGAGTTGACCTAAGTATCCAACAACAGATTAATGGATAAAGAAAACGTCACACACACACACACTGAACTATCCAGCCATAAAAATGAATGAAATCCTGTTATCTAATGCAGCATGGATGAGCCTAAAGGACGTTTTGGTAGGTGAAATGAATCAAGCAAAGAAAGATAAATACCACATGTTCTTACTCATATATGGGCACTAAGAAAAATATTTTGAGCTCATGTAAGTAGAGAGTGGAATTTTGGATATTAGTGGTGGAGAGGTGGGGAGGAGGAGGAGAGTTAGCTAACAGACACGAAATCATAGCTAGATAGGACGAATGAGTTCTGGTGCTCTGCAGCGCTATAGGGTGGATATGGCGAGCTACGATACAATTCATTGTAAATTACCAAAAAGATAGAAGGATTTTTGAGTGTTTGCAACACAAGGAAAAAATAAATGTTTGAGGTGATGGATATGCACTTTACCCTGATTGGATCATCACACATTGTATACACGTAGGGAAGTATCATTCTGCATGCCACGAATAGGTACAATTATTGTCAATCAAAAATAAAAGGGGGGGCGGCACCTGTGACTCAGTGAGTAGGGCACCAGACCCATATACCGAGGGTGGCCGGTTCAAACCCAGCCCAGACAAACTGCAAAAAAAATAAAAATAAAAAAAATAAAAGGGAAAAATATACGTATTGTCCAACAGTGTTCTGAAGAACCTGTAAATGTGCCCTGGCGAGTGTTCCTGCCCAGGGAGAGCACACACCTATGAGAGAGGGATGGAGAACTGTTGCTGGCTGGCATCAACAAGGTCATGTTTCCTAAGCAATAGTGAGAGTGAAGATCCAGCGGTCGGTATCACCTGGAACGTATGCAAACACTCAGTCCTGGAGCACACGTCAGGGCTTCGTATTAATGAGGGTACAAAAAAATAGGTTTGTACATACTGTACAATAGATGTTTATGGAACCGTGGTCACAATGTTTTAGAAGGCAATACACATTTCTCATTGCCCCAAATACACTTTTAATAATTCCTCAAGAGAAATTCCTTCAGATCTTATTTTATTACCAGATTATCTTGGAAGAAGCCAAAAGTCACTATCAAAAGACAAAATCACCACATACTGCTTGCTGTAATTGGATTTATTAACAATTACTGAATCAGGTAGCATCTTATCTTAATATACAAAGGTACTATGTCGGTCATGGCAGAACAGTTCCTTTTTACAAGGTAACTTAAGCAGGAGAAAGAAGACAGCATAACACCAAAATCCTGTTGGTTAACACCATGTTCCTTCAAGTTGCTTTCCCTCAGGGTAAAAGCAGCAGAGACTTCCTTATTACCATGCTGACTAAAAATGGTCTGTTTGGGAATGTGACTATTCTCGCTCTCTCCTAGTTTCTTGGAAGGTCAAATAAAGAACTTGGTTTTGCTTTGGTGACGTGGAATTTTAGCATGAGTGACTCTTAACTCCATTGCTTTGATCTACTGAGCCTAGTGCAGGAGCTCCATCCAGATCAATGGCCTCCTGGTCTCCCCAAAACTTTTTCTTTTTTTTTTTTTTGAGTCGGAGCCTCAAGCTATCCCCCTGGGTAGAGTGCCATGGCATCACGCTCACAGCAACCTCCAACCCCTGGGCTCAAGCAAGTCTCCTGCTTCAGCCTCCCAAGTAGCTGGGACTACAGGCACCCGCCACAGCACCTGGCCATTTTTGGGTTGCAGCCATCATTGTTGTTTGGCGGGCCCGGGCTGGGGATTCGAACCCGCCACCTTAAGTGTATGTGGCTGGCGCCTTAGCAGCTTGAGCCACAGGCGCCGAGCCAACTTTTTCTTTTTTTTAAGAAACAGGGTCTCACTCTGTTTCCCGGGCTAGAGTGCAGTGGCACTATCATAGCTCCACTGAAACCTTGAACTCTTGATTGGGGTCCAGCAATCCTCCTGCTTCAGCCTCCCATGTAATTAGAGATGCACACATCAGCTAAGTTTTCTATTTTTTTGATGGAGACAGGTTTTGCTAGGTTGCCAGGCCGGTTGGTCTGGAACCAAAAGGCTGGAATTAACAGACATGAGCCACTGTGCCCAGCCTCTTGCATTTCATTTTAAAATATAGTCATTTTGGTTTGTTTTGTTTTTCTACATCAGACAGGTAATGTACCAACATTTGTAATAAGATTTGAGGGAGGCACCACTTATACATGCATGTGAAAATCCAGTCTTCATATAGATGAATTACAAAAGGATCAATTTTTCTAGTCGTTACCCTCCTAATCAATCATATATTTGAATATACTATACCTCTTCATAACTTCTTGCTACAATATCATAGGCATCTTTCCCACCATCTTTTAAAAAGAAGCTCCCTATTTTCTTTCAATTATTTACATCATTACAAATATTTGTTTTTCACCTTAATTATCTTCCTTAAAAGTGTCAAGGGAGGAACGGAGGAGTAAAAACCTACCTATCACATACAGTGAACATATTCGGTTAATGGGCATACTAAAGTCCCGACTTAAAAATTATAAAAGACATCCCTGTAACAAAAACATTTGTACTCCCTTAGTATTTTGAAATAAAAATAAATAAATAATAAAGCATTTGGTGTCTCATTTGCAGTTAATGACACTGAATGCAAGTACTAATTACTTCTTGGTTTTCATAAACCACATTAAAAAACCCTTTTCTGGCTCGGTGCCTATGGCTCAAGTGGCTTAGGTGCCAGCCACATACACCTGAGGTGGTGGGTTCGAATCCAGCCCAGGCCCGCCAAACAACAATGACGGCTGCACCCCCCAAAAAATAGCCAGGCGTTGTGGTGGGCGCCTGTGGTCCCAGCTACTTGGGAGGCAGACTTGCTTGAGCCCAGGAGTTGGAGGTTGCTGTGAGCTATGATGCCACGGCACTCTACCCACAGGGACAGCTTGAGGCTCTGTCTCAAAAAAAAAAAAAAAAAGCCTTTTCTTTTACAGACATGCATTGAATTGGGAAACTCCAAATTATGTCAACAACTCTCAGTGGCCTTTATTTACTTTCAAAATATCTTCATTCAATTTCATTCCTCGGCATAATACTTGTTAAAACTTTTTCTTCATTTTGATTTTTTTTATATTTTGTTTTGTTACTTTGATAGGTATAGAAATGCTCAGTTGCTCAGTATGTTTGCTCACAGGACAAGAATTTCTCTAGGCCAAGATTAGGTTATAAAAGTATACATTTATTTCTACTAGAGAAAGGGAAGATAGTGGAGGGAAGAGATGAGAAGAAGAGAGCAGAGAGCAGGAAGTGAGAGAAAGGATCATATGGGGGGGGGGAGACGAGAGAGAATAGCGTGGCATCCCAAAGACAGGAAGAATGCCAGCCCCCCCACAAAAAAAATTCAGACAAGTAAAACTTAACATAGTTTAATTGAGCCAAGAATGATTCATGAATCTGGGAGCGCTCAGAACCGAAAGAGGTCCCGAGAACTCTGCTCCAGGATGTAGGCAGGCAGTACTTAGAGACAGAAAATACAAGTCTTTGTGTGTGTAACCAGCTTTGCTGGTTGTAGATCAGTGTTTGCCTTCTTGGAACTTAGTCTGATCGGTTGACCACCTATGACTGGAGCTCACCTACAAAGATTGGCTGACCCAGCTATTTGTTAAAAAGTATACAAATACACTTGTATAAACTTTTCTTTTTGCTCAGTTAGGCTGTGATTGCCTAGAAAGGGACTGAAAATATGGAGGTAGACTCAGGCCAAATTTAGTTTAAGACAATGTTATGGGGTGGCGCCTGTGGCTCAAAGGAGTAGGGCACTGGCCCCATATGGTGGAGGTGGTGGGTTCAAACCCAGCCCTGGCCAAAAACTGAAAAAAAAAAAAAAAGACGTTATGAAATAAAAATAGCTATGAAGGGCAAAATAACAAGTCTAAGCCAGAGTGAATTTACACATAGCAAATTAGCTTGTAAGCGAATTTTAGGAGGAGCGATGGCCCCCAATGACAATTATCATTTGTCCATAGTTGTTGTTCAAAACAGGGAGTCTACAACCACTCTTTATTTGGGAGCAGTAATAGGTATCCTTAGAGGGGGGCAAAGAGGAGAACAAGACTTGTCAGTCAAAAAGACTATAAATGTACTTGCTGCGGCAGCATGTGTACTAAAATTGGAATGAAACAGAGAAAATCAGCATGGCCCCTGCACAAGGATGACATGCAAATTCGTGAAGCGTTCCTTATTTTTGGTGCGACTTTCAAATATTCCTAGGTGGGGAAACTGAAATGACTCACCCAATTGAGGCATCTTTGAGTTTCACATCCTTATCTCCAGCTTCTAATCTAAAATTAAAAAAGAAAAACTCTAGAAACATCTGCTAGGTTAAATAAAATTGAGATAGTGGTTACCTCTGGAAGGGAGGAGGACTACACATCAACCTTCAGGTGCATTGTTAAATTGTGTTTCGTGGCTAGGCGCCTATAGCTCAACCGGCTAAGGTGCCAGCCACGTACACCTAAGGTGGCGGGTTCGAATCCCCAGCCCGGACCCGCCAAAACAACAATGATGGCTGCAACCAAAAAATAGCCGGGCGTTGTGGCGGGCGCCTGTGGTCCCAGCTACTTGGGAGGCGGAGGCAGGAGACTCGCTTGAGCCCAGGAGTTGGAGGTTGCTGTGAGCTGTAATGCCATGGCACTCTACCCAGGGGGACAGCTTGAGGCTCCTGTCTAAAAAAAAAAAAAAAAAAAAAAATTGTGTTTCGTAAGCTCAGTGAGAAGAATTAGAAAGAAGAGAGAGGAATTTGTTATGGCTATAAAGAAGCCGGTATTGACTATATCCCAGAGATTCTGATTCAACTGGTATAGGATGGAGCTTAAATTGGCATTTTTCTCTTTTTTCTTTTCTTGTCTCATATTTTCTCTTTTAAACTATCCAAGGGCAGCCAGGGTTACAGCAGCTAATGGAACAAAACAGTTGTTAACTTAGGAAGGAAAAAAGAATGGTCAATATACCACCATTTAAGAGTCATTTTAACCATCTGTCAGTTTTGCGAAACCAAGAGCAATCAATAAGATGTTTTTCCTAGTGTTACTTTAAATAAAGTGACCCTAGAGGTCTGCAAGGGGGAGAGAGGAGGTCTAAATTGGATGCTTTATAGATTTGCTAACATGATGTAATACAACCAAACTAGGCTTTAGTAGATGGAGCCTATTTGACAAAAAGATTTGCTAATGACACATAAATCAGGGGAACAGCTGCTGTTCAAGCAGCATCTAATGCTTGAGAGGCTCCCAAACTGGAAAAGGAGAAAGAACAGTCACTTCTGAGACAGTGGCTTGGGAGGAAGACATTATATAATTTTTTTAAATATACTCACTTTTTGGGCCCGTTGCCATGGCTCATACCTATAATCCTAGCACTTTGGGAGGCCAAGGCAGGTGGACTGCTTGAGCTCAGGAGTTGGGGAACAGCCTGAGCAAGAGCAAGTCTCTACTAAAAATAGAAAAAACTAGCTGGGCATGGTGGCACATGCCTGTTAGTCCCAGCTACTTGAGAGGCTGAGGCAAGAGAATCACTTGAGCCCAGGAGTTTGTGGTTGCTGTGAGCTATGATGATGTCAAGGCACTCTACCCAGAGTGAAAGAGTAAGACTGAGTCTCCAAAAAAAAAAAAAAAATATATATATATATATATATAGCCTGTGAAATTGTGTCACTTTGTGTTTATAATTTGCACTTCTTGTCTACACGTTTATTTGCCTCTTTTGCTTCCTCTTTTAGGAGTTGCCTATTTAAATGATTTATAGTATCCAATGCATATTCTGGATATTGTCGTTTTCTCAGTTGTAAGCTATCTTTGTCTGCTTTTCCAGTCACCTTTTCATTTTATGTTTGATGTTTGGGGGATTTTTGTGCAAAAGCTTTAATTTTAATATTTAAAATGTCCAGTATCTTCTAAGTTTTATGATTATTGTGTCTTATTTAAAAAATCCTTTCCTACCCTGAGGACCTAAATATATTCTCCTATTAATTTATAGATTTTTTTAAGTTTTACATTTAACAATAGGTCTTTAATCCTTCTATAATATATCTGTGCTGTGAATTTATTGTAGTATGAAATGGGGATCTAATTTGTCCCCATATGCATAGAAAATTGATTCATTTATGGAACAATCCATTGATCTATAACACTAAGTCTGTCACATATAATGTTTTCATGTGCATAATTCTGTTCCTAGACTTTCCCCCCTTTTTTGGTCTAAATGTCTATCCTTGTGCCAATATCATACTTTCTTACTACAGTTTTAAAATAAAACTTTCTATCTATCAAACCAGCAAACCTAAATGGTGTTGGTTGAAGAGCACCCTGTCTCATAGTTAACCATTGTTCTGTGATGAAAGGTTGGGCATGGTGGCTCATCCTATAATCCCAGCACTTTGGGAGGTTGAGGTGAAGGATAGCTTAAGGCCAGAAGTTTGAGACCAGCCTGGACAACATAGTAGGACTCCTTACTCTAAAAAAGAAGATCTCCTCAATCTAAAAGTAGACCTGCCGTTTGATCCTGCAGTTCCTCTACTAGGTGTATATTCAAAAGACCAAAAATCACTTTATAACAAAGATATTTGTACTGGATTGTTCATTGCAGCTCAATTCATAATAGCAAAGTCATGGAAGAATCCCAAGTGCCCATTGACCCATGAATGGATTAATAAATTGTGGTAGATGTATACCATGGAATATTACGAAGCCTTAAAAAGAGATGGAGACTTTACCTCTTTTATGTTTACATGGATGGAGCTGGAACATATCCTATGTGGTAAAGTACCTCATAAATGGAAGAAAAATATCCAATGTACTCAGCACTATTATGAAACCAATTTATAATCACTCACACTTTCATATGAAGAATAGATCACAACTATGGCCCAAGATGAAGGAGGGGGGAGGGGGATGGGAGGGAAGGGGAGAAGTCAGATTGAGGGAGGGTGAATGCTGCGATCACACCCACAGTACATAATGCAAGGGTATATGTCGGATCTATTAGTACAGAGTATAAATGTCTTAACACAATAATTAAGTAAACAAGATGAGGTATGTATTAAGCAGTGTGACATAAGCGTTCCTGATTCTATATGAAATCAGCACATTGTACCCCATAAATGCATTAATGTATACATGATCTATGTGTTTATGATTTAATAAAATAAAAAAGAAGAAGAAAGAAAGAGGGAGGGGAGGAGGAGGGGAAGAAGGAGAGGGAGGAGGGGGAAGAGATGAAGACAGAGACAAAGATGAAGGAGGAGGAGGAAGAGGAAAAAGAAGAAGAGGAACTAGAAGCGGAACTAGAAGCAGCAGCAGCAGCAGCAGAGTCCTGTAAATCAGCGGTGGCTCATCAGGTAAGGGTACAGAGCAAGGAACAACTACTGCTGTCCTTCTGCAGGAAGATGCATAGCTCAGTGGTCGTCTCATGTCTGTGAGGACACCAACTCTCATTCCCACTGTAGAGAGTTTTGCAGTGCTTGCATCTTCAGATGGAAAGGTACTGCCACATTTGCATCAGAAATCAAATAATGACTCACACGTACACAAGGACTACGGGTACTGGGGTCACCAGCATGGCCTGGATGGAAATGAGCAGATTAGCCCAGGGTTTACAATATTCCTCTTTAGCATCATTTCACCCTTTAGAAGAATGGGAAATCCATGACTCAGAATTTAGGAAGCTCGTAGATGAGAGTGTGCCAACTGGGAATATTCTCTTCTCTCCAAAGAAGCAAAGAGCCAGAGCTTTCCTCAGCAAGTGTGTGGGTTTTCAGGACTGCTGCCTGCTGTGCCTCTCAGGGCACCGCCCACACAGCCTCAGACACCTTTCTACATAGCAGGCACCTGCGTGTTCTGTCGCTCTCCTTTTGCCCCAGGATCCCTCCTTACTGCTAGAGGTGGGCACTGCCCTGTCTGGGAAAGGAGGCCTGCTCGTCCTCATCCCACACGAGTTCTCCTGCCGTAGCCTCCCTCCTGTCCTCTTCCTCAGTCCCTACTGCCACACTTCTTTCTCTTGCTTTTCCTCTGCTGTTCTTCTCAGCCTAAAATTTAGCACGCTCCAAAAGGCAGCCACACATGCTTTGTGCCCTGGTGCTGCGCAATGCTGTTGCAAATGGCCAGCCCCCAACCCCATGCCATAGATACAAGCCTGAAGATAACATCCCAGTGAAAAAATATCCATACCAAGAGACACACAGGAGCCATACTCATTTGTGAATATGAATGAAGGTTACATTGTGAATATGAATGAGCCATGGAAGGCTCATTCATTGTGAATATGAATATGAATGAGCCATACTCATTGTGAATATGAATGAAGGTTACATTGTGAATATGAATGATGTTCACATTAACATCAGTGAACTTGTCTGGGCTGGTGTGGTGGCTCATGACTATAATCCTAGCACTCTGGAAGGCCAAGACCAGTGGATTGCTTGAGCTCAGGAGTTTGAACATTAAAAACAGAAAAAAACTAACCAGGCATCATGGCAGATGCCTGTAGTCCCAGCTACTAGGGAGGCTGAGGCAAGAGGATTGCTCAAGCCCAAGATTCAAGGTTGCTGTGAGCTATGATGACACAGCACCCTACCCAGGGTGACAGAGTGAGACTCTGTCTCAAAAGAAAAAACAAAAGCAAAGATCTAGACAGGAGCATTGATCTAGAAAGGATCTAGACCAATCTCTGGTCTGTGTCCCTCTCTCCCCTCTGCCCCACAAAATTCCTCTTCTCTAATTACAGAGTAAAGGCATCTTTTATTCATTTTTCCCTTTTCTAAAATATTTGCACCAGTGGAAGCATTTATGGAAATCAGTTATCCTTAAAATTATCCAAATAATCTCTTCAAATTTCCAGGATCTCTCCTACAATATTTAGGGGGATGCTCAATTGCAAAAAGATCAAAGTTTGGCATTGGGCTGGACCTGCTAATTAATGTAACTCTGCTGACAAGTTTACATAATATGAGAGCCTGAAAACATTTTAAAGCAATCTCAAAGTTCACACTGTTACTGAAAATGATTATATCAGAGCAATGGTAGAAAGCATGAAAAGGTTTCCCGGCTGGTTCACATTTCTCCCTTGAACTTTGGGCAATCACTTCACTGATCTCTTTATTTTCCAACTGGATTCTTTTCAGCTGAGTAAAACCTCTTTTCCAGGCTGGAGGGAAGCGTTCACAGTAGCTCTCTCACGGAGGAGGAATTTTG